TCGACCTCACTCGAAGTGAGTTAAAAGGTCAAGCGCCATCGCCAAGGAGGAGAGTTCGACCTCGATCGAACGATGACTTGATAGCACAATACCAGAATACTAATACTCTACAAGGCTAAGGGTCATCGCCAGAGAGAATTCGGCCTCGACCGAAGCAACAGTCGATGGAATCCACTCATCGAGCTCGGCCAAGGCCCGACCTCAATAAGCGGAGGGACTAACTATATGGGTCAGAATCCGACCCCACGATAATTAACGAAGCTAATCCCATCTTAAGCTAATCCATGATTAATCAGTGGCACGTCCACTCAGAACTAACGATATTCAACCCGCATCTGATTCGATCAGCAAGGCCATGGCCCATCCGCCACCACGAAGGCGAAATTCCAACGTGGTCACGGCCACTTATTGCCAGCTCACGAGGCTCACAGCTATAAATACCAAGAGAGGAAACCCTAGAAAGGGGGGCTTCTTCTTCACCACTATTAAGAGAGAAAAAAGAGAGACAACGATACCCAAAATTATGGGAAAGAGGAACACCATTGTAAGGCTCTGAACCTCTTCATGGAGAGGCAGACCAAACCAATATTATCAATAAAGGCTTCTAATGCTTCTCCCCCTAATCCTGAGTACTTATTTTCGTCTTCTTCATTTGGTCCAACGGATTATTACGGTTTGCTATGATTTTCCCGTGATTCATTTATATTATTTTATATTCATAAGTTATGTAATAACTTTTGAGTCAAACACTATTTTTATACAAAGTTTCAAAAATTTAATAGTAAATGTTAATAGTTTGCACTTTTAGTATAGTTCTTTACCTTTACATTCTAGTTTGATTGGTAGTTTTCTTTTGTTAAGTGTAAGAATCAATTTCGTGCTAAAATTAATATATTTTTAATTGAGTCCTTAAATTATTCATCGCTAGTTGATTCAGTTATCATCAATATATCTTAGTAAATAATAGAATTCTCAAAGGACAATTGATTTGATAGTGTTACGTTGAAAATGTGTTCTCCGGAATATGTGTTTGGTAGTGTATGTCTTATATTTAAGAAAAATCCGATAAATAATCGAAAAAACCGAAAAACCGACAAAACCCGACATAAACCGAATCGAGAAAAAACCGACTTAATTGGTTTGGTTTGGTTCTAATATTTGAAAAACCGACTTACTTGATTTGATTTCTTTTTAGAAAAAAATCAATCCAAACCGTACCATGAACACCCCTAATCATAACTAACAGATACCCAAGAACAGAAAAGTCTCCGAACTAAACTTATTAGAGAGAGAGAGAGAGAGGAAATACGTGTGTTTACATGACACGGAGCAGTCGATGTTGAAAGTCTTAAACATAACTAACTAAGCCTAAGAACATTAAAGCAATTGCTTTAAGCCTAAAAACCTGAGTGCTCCAAGTGAACCAAGCTATTTCACTTCAAAACCTAATTGAATTATTCTACAAATATAAATTTATTTTTCATTTAGTGGTAAAAAATTAAGACCACTAGATAATGATAATTTTAAAAGACATTACGTTAACCATAAATATTTCATAAAATATAGGATAAGTTTTGTGAATGATAAAACCACGTACAAGATGGTTCGAACACCACCGTTATAAATAAATTCAAACAAAATTATATATAAATCTGAATGTATAAATTCTAAATCGAATTCATTAATTTTATCAAGCCATTAATTTAGATTTTTGCTTGCCATTTAGCACACCTATAAAGATAATACTAGAGAAATAATAGTATGTTACCTCGAAGGAGAAAAAAAAGCCCATCTCCCTTTAAAAGTGCACGGATATTACTATATACACACTATTTAAAGAAAAAGAGGGAGACATATTTTTGTGTTAGGTATTTTGCATGTTTAGAAATGGGTCCAGAAACTTAGGCTTAAATATAGCATTTGAATTAAAAGCTCCTTTGCTGGGCTCTTTTTTATTTCCCTTAGGTGGTCATCTTAAAATTTAAATATTATTGAAATACGAGAATTTAAAATATGAAAACATTGAGAGAAATAGTAAAGAATATAGGCACATTCACACACTAGAACCCTAATATTATTGAGTGACTTCAATTGTGAGGGTTTAGTACTATTATTTGTATTCATCTCCATGAGAGTAAGTTCAGTCCCCAACATTATAGTGATTGTTAATTCATATAGGGAGTTTTAAATGTAAGAAAAATGCACATCGAAGGCACTGGAATTGTATCTCTGAATATCTAACGTATATGTTGGGTGATGCATTAACACGTTTTCTTGATTTGTTAAAACTGCTCCTAGTACATAAGAATGCTGGGCCTTAATGAAGGGCATTTGGGTTGGCCGAATTAGTAAAAATTGCACGGAGCGCCCATTTTTTTTTAAAGTTTTAACTTGTACCCATTTTTTAAACAACTTCAGCCCCCTTTCCCTCCTCCTTCTCCTCCTTCGTTTTCTTCTTCTTCTTCTTTCTTCGTTAATTGTTCTCTTTATTCTTAACATCGAATTATCTTCTTTCGATGTTGCAGGTTCTATTGACCGAATATAAGAGTCTGCCTCCCCTATTTCAGGACACACCTAATGCTATCCAAGAGTTGACGATTGCACGTAATATGCTCCATCCTTTTTTATCTGATTTTATTTTACTTCTTTGCTTAATTGCTTTATGACTGACTTTTGAAACATTGATAGGAAGTACATAAAGTAATATGAAAGTTTGTAAGATGGAACTGTGAAACAAATAATTAGAGATGAATATAGATGCTTACACATTTGCATGTGTGAGACAAGAGCAAATCAGAAAACTTTAGCTCTAGAGCTGAAGTTCGCCAGTTACAAAACAAAACTTCAGATCTAGAGCTGAAGTTCGCTAGTTACAAAATAAAAACTTTAGATTAGAGCTGAAGTTCGCCAGTTATAAAAATAAAAACTTCAGCTCTGAAGTTCGCCAGTTACAAAACAAATACTTCAGCTCTAGAGCTGAAGTTCGCCAGTTACAAAAATAAAAACTTCAGCAATTACAGACAAAAACTTCAGCAAATAGAGAATAAAACTTCAGCTACTATGCTTAAGTTCAGCAATTACAAACAAAAACTTCAGCACACTTGCTACTTCAGTCCCGTCTACTAGAATGCCTAAGCTTTGCGTGATTGCCTTTGCTACTTCAACCCCGTATGCTGAAGTTACGTGAAAAAGTGGGTACGCTTGCAATTTTTTTTGGAAAGCGGGCACATGTTAAAATGTGACCCAAAAAGCGGGTATAGATGCAAATTCCCGCCGAATTATGAGTCTTTTCCAAAAAAATTTTAAGGATTTTTAGTTTTAATAATTTAAAATTGTAATAATTATCATATACGTACTAAAAGGTGGGGCATAAGGTGAGTGTTTTAATTAAAAACTTTATAGAAAATAAAATACCTAGCATTATTTTACAAGTATAAATATCACAACAATGCTAATGTTATTATGAGATACAAAACAATTATAATGTCTTAACAATTAAAAAATTATAATTTTGTAAAAACTATGATTTTACCTTCTTAAAGATAAATATTCAATAATTTTATTAGTATTTTAATTCAAAATAGGAAAAATTTCATATTAAAACAACTGGGCTGCCTATTTTTCTACTTTATAGCCCATATTTCAATTTACAATTGAGTAGTCCAAAAATAACAGGCCCATATCTGAAAAAGGGGCGTTATTTTCGTTTTTTGGGATTCAGAAGCGGGATTTTGTAACTTTCAGCGGGATTTTCTCTCATTCTTTCCATTCTTCTTCACCAAATCTACAAAAATGAGATCTTGCAGTCAATGCAACTCCAAAAACTCTAGAAATTGTTCTTAATCTCGAATTAACAGCAAATCAAACACGAAAAGTGAATTTTTTTTTGCTGCAGTCAGCGCAATTTTCATTTTTGCTGCAATTTTGTTTTCAACTTTTTGTTCGATGGAGATTTTTTCAGTTTACGTTCTTCATAGTGGTGAATGGGAAGAAAACAAGTTTATCAATTTCGCCAGCGATTGTGTAATAATCGAGTCGACATTCAACTATAACAATTTAGTTGCAGCTATTTCGGAACAAATTAGAATCGATTGTGAGTTAAACACATTAGAGATTAACTTTCTCCCAAAGGATGGTTTGCCACCGATCCTGATTTACAACGATACGAGTGTTAAGGTGTATATCAAATTAAAGAAGAAAAACTTGAATTTCACTGAATACCCGTTGTATGTAACTGTGAAAGAGATTTATGATAATCGTTTGGTTGCTACAAGTTCCAATTGTATAGATGTATCCACGATTGATAGCACTGAGATTATGCATGATATCGAATTTATTGAAAACACGAAATTTAGTGAAAACACGAGTAATAGATAATATGTTGAACGAATTTGTTAAGGAGGGTCAAGTTTATAAAGATAAAGAGACAATTGTCAGTGTGATGAAGAACTTGGCTGTACGCGAGAGGTTCCAATTCAAGTTGAAGAGATCAAGCACAACAAGGTATGACAATAGTTTTATATTCTGTTATATATATGTATAAATATGTATAAAGTAGTATATTTGTATATAGGTATTAAAATTAGTATATATCTAGTTATGTTTTTGTATACAAGTGTATTTAGAAGTTGAGTGATCTTTAATCCTAGGTATCACCTTATGTGTGTGGATGACAATTATGCTTGGAGTTTCAAATCTTCTGCCGTTTACAAGGCAAACATATTCTAGGTGAGAAGTTACAATAATAATCACACATGCGGCTATGGTGAAAGATACTTAATACAACGTCAAGCTACTTCGGGTGTAATTGCTAGTATAGTCAAGGACAAGTATGTTAATCCAAAAAAAAAATTACACCGCAAATGATATAATAGAGGACATACAAAAGCAACACGGGGTTGAAGTGAGCTACATGAAATCATGCAGAGCTAAAGATAGCAATGGCAATGATAAGAGGGAATCCGAGCGATTCATATAAGGAGTAGGCGAGGTATTTGTATATGTTGGAGCATACAAATCCAGGAACGGTTACAAAGTTGCACAAATCAGAAGATGGATGCTTTCTTTATGCATATGTTTCGCTATATGCATCTATCAAGGGTTGGGAGCATTGCAGACCGATAATGGTTGTTGATGGAAGTTTCCTTAAAGCAACATATAAGGGTACCATATTGACTGCTTGCACACAAGATATAGCTGGTGAGTTGACTGCATCTACCTTGTTTCTGCAGTTTGTATAATGTTGTAGTTTCATGTATAAAAGTGTATAGGATTTCAGAGCTGTTGTTTTTATAAAATTTGCAGTATGTATAAAGTTGTATAATCGTGTATAACTGTGTATAAGATTTGTATAATTGTCTGAATCCTAATATCTATTTTGTATAAACAGGAAAAATCCTTCCACTTGCATATGCAATTGTAGATTTAGAGAATAACAAATCTTGAGAGTGGTTCTTCGTCCAGATAAATGGTACTTTTGGTGTTAGGGAATGGATGTGTATAGTTTCAGATAGAAGCGAAAGCATCTTCAATGCCACAAAAGCTGTGTACCCAGACGTACCACATTGTATTTGCATATTTCACTTGTGGCAGAATGTCAAGCGCACATTCAAGAAACATCACAAACAATTGAAGGATATCTTCTTTGCTTTGGCTAGAGCTTACACGATAGAGAAGTTTGACTACCATATGACAGAGATGTGCAAAATTGATCCGAGGGTGCAGCCTTACTTGTTCGAAATTGGCTACGAAAGGTGGTCTAGGGCATACTCCAAAGTGAAAAGGTCAATGGTAATGACTTCCAATATTGCAGAGTCAATTAATGCAGCAAACAAAGATGCTAGAGAGTTACCAGTAATGCGATTGCTAGAGTACATGACAAATTTGCTACAACAGTGGAACAACAAAAACAGGAAAAGTGCAATGGAGACATCTACAGAGCTTGGCGAAAAGTACGACAAACTCTTTCGAGAAAATCTGATTGCATCGGAGCAAATGACGGTAAAACGAATCAAGTATAATGATGCTTGACACTGCTGACAAGCATTTTACTGCTTGTATAAGGATGTATGACTCTGTATAATAATGTATAATGTGCTTTAACTTTTTTTTAAAAAAAACTTTTACAGGTGAGGCCTGCTACGAAGCAGTCATATACTGTGCTTGAAGGGGTAAGGCGAAATATAGTGTGCCTTGAAGAGGGAACATGTAATTGCGGCAAATTTCAAATGGATGAACTTCCATGTCTGCATGCTTGGGCGGTTTTGAAGAACCAGCAGCTGAAACCTGGCCAATATTGCTCTTTTTACTACAAGAAGGATAACCTCCTTAGAACTTATGAATTTCCAGTGAATCCGATGCCATATGAGAGTTTATCGGTAATCCTAACAGAGGTGCTGGAAGATGTGGTCCTACCACTTAAAGGGAGAAGGAATGCAGGAAGGCCAAGAAAGGAAAGACTCAAACCTGCTTCAGAGAAAGAGTCTAAGAGGGCGTTTTCATGTTCTTTGTGTGGACAAAGTGGTCACAATAGAAAAATATGTAGGAATCGACCAAAAATAAATAGTTGAAAACATAACACTTCCTATTATATATGTTGTCATGTTGAGTTAAGTTTCACAAACAATAGAGTTACAAATGTTGAGTAGTTAAGTTTCACAAGCAATTGAGTTACAAATGTCAATAAAGACTAACAATTAACACTATATGTTGCAATTATGTTAAATATGTTTCATTATACATGTTTTGATTATCCAATAATAGTGTGTTGCTGTTTTTAATGATACTAAATATATTGATATATTGTACAAATGCAAAACAGAACTGCAAACAATCAATGGTATTATATGTATACTGTCACACCTCTTTTTTCATTACTACACCCCGTGAAGGGTATAATAAAGGGAGTTTTTCCAATTAAAGGACAATCGAAACGGGATTCATTTTATTAAGAGATTCAGAGTCGCCACTTGGGAGATTTATGGTGTCCTAAGTCACCGGTTCGAATCCCTAATCGAGGAAAGGGTTTACTCTGTTTAACAGTCGCGAACCAGAAATCCGGGTAAGGAATTCTGTTAACCCGGGAGAAGGGGTTAGGCACTCCCGAATTCCGTGGTTCTAGCACGGTCGCTCAACTGCTATATTTGGCAAAAGTCTGATTTTAATACATGTCATCCTATAGTGCAATTTTAAATATTATTTAACCGCTTTTAATTAAAAAAAATTTAAGAAAGTGAACGTCGTTTAAAAACGTGTTTTTGGATCACGTCACATGAAATGCACCCGTATCCTCGACACATTCTTATTCAACATTTTGGGATTTGGATTTGGGTTGCATGAAATGCACACCCGTATTTAAGAAGGTAATATTATTAAAAGACGCGCCTAAAGCAACTAACGCATTGTTAACTTTGCGGGGGCCATGAAAATTCGCTAAATGACACGTCCCGAGTTCTAAGAATTTTAAATGAAATAATTAAGTGAGGGCCATGCATTTGAGATTCTATTTGGCGCGGCGCACCTCAAATTATTCTAAAGGATTTTACTCAACTGGAGCAAACTAAGGATATTCATGACTTATTTTCTAGACTACTTTGAGATTATTGTATAGCATGAGAGTTATGGAAGAGATAATAAAAAGAAAAACTAAACATGGACTACATAATTCTTAAAACAGTCAAAAAGGCAAAATAAGAACTATTAAATGAACGAGTCCAAAAATTTTATTCATTAAATAGGTCATGGTTGCGCTAGGATGGCTACTGCTCAGCAATTCATGCATCTCTTTAGCATTAATATATACTCCATTCAAACAAATCTACTCACATTAAAAAAACATATACTCCATTCAAACACAATTATATCAACAGTATCCATACTAGTTCGTGGCTCACCAGATTTAGGCTCCAGGCATGAAATCGTTATGCTAACAAGTTATTAACAACCAATCCCTTTGTGATAACAAATCGTTAAGAGCATTTAGCTTAGCATCACACATCTTAAAAAATCAGTCCCACTTATACATTTATTGCTTTCTACTTGACTGTTTCCCCATATAACCTGATGCCCAATCTTCATTAAACAATTCCAAATCTATTTTGTCTCATTATTCCATGAACGAATCTTAACTATTAAAGAAATCAGCAGACATCCGAAGCATGAGAGTGATTTTATGGAGATTGATCGCAATTATTTGGATCACAAATTTACAATTTGGATAAACTGAACTAGACCTACCAGATAGCTTTCATGACAGCAGTAATCTAAAACAACATGTAACACAACTTTAACTCATCAACAATTGAGTCATCTTATTAAAATAGAGTAATCACAAGGCAAAACAAACAGACATATCGAAATCAACAAACTAACAAATGCAACTACGACTTCAGCACGAAGAGAAACGAATCCAAACGTATAGGTCTAGTTGAATACCTGACTGGGCAGAAATTAACTTGGAAAAACCAAATAAAAGCTGGAAAAAGTGATTGGAGCTTAACAGAACAGAATCAGCAGAGAATGACAGTAATCGATATCGAATCTAATCCTCGGCAGCTTTGTAACCCAGGGACGAAGATTAAAATTTTGAAGCTCTAACTTGTTGAATCTTTTGTATTTCTTCGAATTCCCAAAGCTCTTAGATCTTAATTTTCAATTCTCCAAAGTTGAGTCTGTCCTTTTTAGCTCTTTTTGTGTGTGTTTATGTGAAGAAGAAGAAGATGAGCAGGGGCGCTCCCCTTTTTTTTTGGGGGTCAAGGATCTCCTTTTATCTTTATCCCCACCCCTAGGTGTTATGTGAGGTCTTATGTGGGGGATATTTTTTTGGGGAAAATATTTTGGGGGAAGGTTCTTCCAGTTCTTTTTTTTTTAATCCCAATTTTCTTTTTATCTCTTTTTTTATTAAAAATCCTAGAATTAAAAAACCTAAAAAAAAATATAAAAAGCTACTTAATCCTATATTAAAAGAGAAAAATCAATAAAAAGAAGCATTTTTTGTGATTTTTTGTAATTTTTATAAAACATGTAACTATCGATTAATCCTAAAAATGTAAAAGTAAGGCCTAAATGTCATGCGTGATATTTTAGTATTTTTCATGATTTAAATGCAAGAAAAATGCAAACAATTAATAAAAATCTATAAAATTCCTAAAATGGCAAATAATTAAGGAAAAAATCTATTTTCTCAGGATTTTGTAGGAGTATTTCGTATAGGGCAAAAATCACGTGCTTACAGCTGCCCCTCTTTGCTCGGAAACATGAAGAGTTTTCGGACAAAGATAAAGTGAGCAATATGAGGGATTTTTGCCCATTTGAAACTCCATGAGAAGCATTTTTGAAAGAGTCTGACCGAACCTTACTTCAGAGGTTGCCTACATATCCTTGGCTAAAAAGGAATCAGGTCAGTGTAGTTCGGGAAGGTCTGGTAGCTGGGACTACCATGAAGCTGTGGTTTCGCTGTTGCTGCTGCTGTTGCTACTGCTTACCGAACTCCCTTATTACACCTTGTCAAAAATAAAAAGAAACTAGACTAAGCTATGAGCTATGAATTACAAAAGATCCTATCTATATCTTCAAACTTGATCTTGTATTTCTTGTTGCCTTGTTGTATTGTATTCTCCCCGGCGACATCCTTTTGTTGCTGCCTTGAATTGTGATCTGAGATGTTTTGCCCTTTCTCCAGGTGGCTGCCTGACTGCTGACTACACTTTGAGATGTTTTCCTTTCTCCGGGTGATGCTTGACCGTTGAACTCGAATGTATTCCCTGCTCTCCAAGCGGGTTCCAGATTGCTGTATTGAACGGTATTCCTCTGTTCTTCAGGCGGGCTCCTAATTGCTGAAACTTGAAATGTATGCCTCTGTTCTCCAGGCTTGCTCCTGACTTCAACAAAATAGACAAAAATAAAGAAAATCTATTGCCCCAGTTTGGTGACTGGGCATCATATTACCAGATATTAATAAGAATTTGAAAAATTAAAACTTGAATTGTAATACCTCTGTTCTCCAGGCGGGCTCCTGACTGCTGAAACTTGAATTGTAATACCTCTGTTCTCCAGGCGGGCTCCTGACTGCTGAAACTTGAAATGTATGCCTTTGTTCTCCAGGTGGGCTCCTGACTGCTGAAACTTGAAATGTGTGCCTCTGTTCTCCGGGCGGGCTCCTCTGTTCTCCAGGCGGGCTCCTGACTGCTGAAACTTGAAATGTGTGCCTCTGTTCTCCAGGCGGGCTCCTGACTTCAACAAAGACAAAACAAAGAAAATCTCTTGCCTCAGTTTGGTAACTGGGTATAGCATGTTATCAAATATTAAAAATTAAAAGCTAAAATTTGAATTGTACTTCCCTTGTTCTCCAGATGGGCGCCTGACTGCTGAAGCTTGAAAAGTATTCCCTTGTTCTCCAGGTGGGCTCCTGATTTCTGAACTTGAAAAGTATTCCCTTGTTCTCCAGGTGGGCTCCTGACTGCAACAAAATAAACAAACAAAGAAAATTTTCTGCCCCAGTTTGGTAACTAGGTACGACATGTTATCAAATATTAAAAATTAAAGCTAAAATTAGAATTGTACTTCCCTTGTTCTCCAGGTGGGCGCCTGATTGATGAAGCTCGGAAAGTATTCCCTTGTTCTCCAGGTGGGCTCCTGATTGCTGAACTTGAAAAGTATTCCCTTGTTCTCCAGGTGGGCTCCTGACTTCAACAGAATAGACATAAAACAAAGAAAATTTTCTGCCCCAGTTTGCACTAGGAAGATTTGTGAGTTGTTAGCAAAATATAGATCACCTAAACTATTGATGCAATGATGAGAATAAAGCTAAAGACTTGATTGGAATGTAGGTCTCCTGTGAGTAAAACCAAGGACATTTGGCTGGCAAATTTATCAAACTAGGTCTTCTATCTTAGGAGAAAGATTCATCAGACTAAGATTTAGATCCTAGGAGAAAATTCATCAGACTAGGTCTATGTATCTTAGGAGAAAGATTCATCGGACTAAGATGTTGATCCTAGGAGAAAATTCATCAGACTAGGTTACTATTTTTGTTATCTTAGGAGAAAGATTCATCAGACTAAGATTTTGATCCTAGGAGAAAGATTCATCAGACTAGGTTTTCTATCTTAGGAGAACAATTCATCAGACTAAGATTGTGATCCTAGGAGGAAAACAATGTGAAAAGCAACGGCAACATTTTATGCACGCTAACAAGACAGGCAAGGGCGAAGATTTGAGAAACTTCCCTTTTGTCGGCTCTCCTCTTCTTCCTTTTCTTTTTTTTTCCTTATTGTTGAACCAACTTTCTTGCACTGCTTTGTTCCTGTTTCAAACAAAGAAAACTTGTGAGTTTAAAATGTGGTGGTTAGTTTGTGGCCTTGAACTTTGAGGCCGGCTGCTTCTGCATTTGCCAAGATGACTGATTTCCACTCGAAGACCTTGCTTGTTCCCGATATCCTCTACTTGTTGCATTGCATGAACTGGCATCCCCCAACCCTTATGTCTCATATGAATCCCAAAGCACGTCTATTGCTCCCACTTCGCGTACATGATGTTCTTTTTTGACTTAATCACTGGCCTCGGCCTTGAA